AAAAAAATCTTTTCTTTCTTTTCTTTCTTTTCTTTCTTTTCTTTCTTTTCTTTCTTTTCTTTCTTCTTTCTTTCTCTCTCTCTCTCTCTCTCTTTCTTTCTCTTTTCCAATTGAACATTTTGGCATTTGAAAGATCAAAAAGAAATCAATTTGGGACATGCCTGAATTGATTTTGTATTTTAAAATAAATATTTGTCAACTTTATTTTATAAACAATGCAGTTATTTTCCATCCTTAAAGATGTCTTTTCTACTTTGTTTACTTTTGTACATTTTGAAGACTTTTTGATTACTAACGACATAAATTATAGTAAAGTCCCATTAGTTGTAAAGCACTGGGCTGATTTTCAGAGCACTGAGCACTGTCCCAGATGTCCGAGATGGCCCCCCGCTCTGGAGCTTTATGGTGGAGAACACTCTGTATTGTATTTCTCTTGGGAGTATGACTGAATTCTCTAGCTTAGTTCAAAGCCACGGGTGGCCTCTTTACATAAATTTATGACACTGTGACCTTCTAGACTCCCAGACTGCAGAAAAAGGCTAAGTAATATTTAGACCAAACGTTGGATCTGGGAAGAGAGTTATTCACTCCCTGCCCCCACCCCCTTCTCAGATTTAGCAAAAACTTTTATTTGCTAAACAGACACGCAAGAGTAAAAATCAGCAAAAGGAAAATGAACCAATGCAAGGAAAGCCATTCATGCTATAAAAAAAAAAATCTGTATCGATCTTTTCCCTCTCCAAAACACGTTTTCTAATGAATAATTAAGAACAATGTACAGAGATGTTTTATGTATCCTCCTGACTGGTTTACATTCCTTTTTATACATCATTGTGAAGTGTCTTGCTCACTCTGCCCCCATATGTCAACTTTCTTCTATCCCTGTTATTTGTGAGAGAGACACATCCCTCCTCCCCCTTCCTCACCGAAGCTCTGGTCAGAATAATGAAAGCTGAAGGAAACATCGTATAAAAACCCTTGGATTACTACCAGTCCTACGGGTCCTTGATCATTTACCTAGAAACTCATAGAGGAAGGTGAATGATGAGACTTGTTACTCCTCCAAATGATAATAGAAGAAAATATTTGTACAGCACAAATAATCATTTTATCTGTGATTTCACTTTCCGAGACTCCAGTTACTTGCAGTCAACCGTAGTCTGAAAATATTAAGTGGAAAATTCCAGAAATAAATAAGTCATACATTTTAAATTGAGAGCCACTCTGAGTAGTGTGATGAAGCCTCGTGTTGTCCTGCTCTGTCCCACTTGGGACGTGAATCATCTCTTTGTCTAAAGTCTCCACACTGTAGACGCCAGCTAGTCACGTAGTAGCCACTGTCTAGGTTATCAGATCCACTGTCAGGGTGTCGCGGTGCTTGTGTTCACGAAACCGAGTAGCAGCCTAACGCTAAGGCACAGTGCCTACGTCATTCACCTCACTTTATCGCATCACATAGGCGTTGTGCCAGCTCACATCATCGCAAAATGAAGGAGGTTGAGCACATTACAATTAGATATTTGGGGAGAGAAAGAGATCACATTCCCTTAACTCTTATTTTAGTACATTGTAATCGTTTTATTATTATTGTTAATCTCTTACTATGACTAATTTATAAATTAAACTTTATCATAAGTTTGTATGTATGTATAGGAAAAAACACAGTGTGTGTGTCTATGTGTATATATACACGTATGTGTGTGTATGTATATGCATCCGCATGACTGGTAGTCAGCCTTACATTTTTCCTTACACATTTAGCAAAGTAATGTGTGTGTGTGTGTGTGTGTGTGTGTGTGTGTGTGTGTGTGTGTGTGTTTACACAGAAGACGATCCAAAGGCAGTCAGGAGAGTGCTGCTGAGATGGCTCAAGTTCACACATCAACTGCTGGTAAAAACACAGAGTAAAGAATCCCAGGACATCATTTCCAAGATGATATGACCTCAGTGGTAACTCATCTCAGCATGTTGGTGTCATTACTGCAGAAAAACACCATCAATACCTCTTAACGTAATCTCTCTGGACTGACTTGAGCTTAGAGATTGAAATGAATATATTTCTTACTGGTTGTGATTATCTGATCACAATGTTATTTGGAATAGATAATATCCTCTGATAATGAGTCAGTGGCCCTTGCAGGATGGAAGGGCCCCAACTAATTAACTTGCCACCAAGGAGGCAGCTAGTCTCCTTGAGGAATGGTAATATATGGAGGACCTGGTGTTCCTGTTGCTGAGAAGCTGGATGTTCATCTTCAACACTGCTAAGCTCGGCCTCAGTTAGGGAGTGCCCGTGCTCTTTGTGGGGGCCCATTCATAGCTCCATCCCTCTGATGTAGCTAGTTCCCTCCTGTGTCCATTGTGCCAGCACCATGGCGGCCAGTGCCTGGGGTTGGCTGACATCAGGTGACCAAGTCACCCTGTCTGCTTAGTAACTTAGTGTTTCTTCCATAGTGTGTACTCTCTAGTGGGCATTAGCATATAATGCAAAGAGTTTCACATTTCCTGCCACTCTCATGTCCACCCACATGTCTCTAACCAATCTTTTGATCTTTCTCCATCCAGGCCTCTCCATAAATTCTAAAAAAAGGCTATTTTCTCTTTCACACAAAATAGATGACCGGGCACATTGCCTGAAGTTCTGTCTATTGGAAGGACTATCTTTTGTCACTTTTTTTAAAAAAAAATTATTTTATTAGTTTCAAGTATATAGTACATTGGTTAGACATTTGTATAGTTTATAAAACAATCCTGCCAATTGATCTTTCTCTCCTCTGGCTCTCCACTCAGCTATTACATTAATGCTAATTGCATTCTCTATGCCATGCTCCCCATTCCTGTGACCATCTATCAGCTACTAAATTGTCCTACTTTAACACTTTTCCCTAGTCTCCCAGACCCCCAAACCCTCCTCCCTTCTGGCTATCACCAGATTGTCCTCTATATTTGTGATTCCTTTTTGATTAGTTTATTCTTTTTGTTCCTTAGATTCTACATATAAGTGAAATCATATGGTATTTATCTATCTCTGTCTGACTTATTTCACTCAGCATAATAACCTCTAGGTCCATCCACGTCACTGCAAATGGTAGGATTTCATTTTCTTTAATGTCTAAGTAATGTTCCATTGCATATATGAACCACAACTTCTTTATCCAATCACCTGTTGATGGGCATTTAGGTCGCTTCCATATCTTGGCTATTGTAAATTGTGCTGCCATGAATATTGGAGTGCATAGATCTTTATGAATTATTGTTTTGGTTTTCTTTGGATAAATACCCAGAAGTGCAATTGCTGGGTCAAAAGGTATATCCATTTTTAATTTTTTGAGAAACTCCACTTTTTTTCA